TCCAAAAAAATTCGTAATATATCTAGAAATTCATTTACCCACTAGTAGTTATAAAAAGCATTTTTGGTAAACTCTGTCTCTAATAGTTTCTGAAAAATAAAATTAATTTTTTAAAAAGGTCCGATTAAATTTATATCTCCGAAACTAAAGTTCCAAAAAAATTCGTAATATATCTACAAATTCATTTACCCGCTAGTAGTTATAAAAAGCATTTTTGGTAAACTCTGTCTCTAATAGTTTCTGAAAAATAAAATTATTTTTTTTAAAAATGTCCGATTAAATTAATATCTCCGAAACTAAAGTTCCAAAAAAATTCGTAATATATTTAGATATTCATTTACCCACTAGTAGTTATAAAAAGCATTTTTGGTGAACTCTGTCTCTAATAGTTTCTGAAAAATAAAATTAATTTTTTTAAAAATGTCCGATTAAATGTATATCTCCGAAACTAAAGTTCCAAGAAAATTCGTAATATATCCCAACTACAATATACATTTCAATCTGCACATGTGGCTAAAGGATAAAAATTTTCTATACTGTTGTGACAAGTTCTGACAACGGAGGGGGATATTTCACTGATACATTAATGTTTTTTGTTGCTTAGACAAATTTTTTGAATTTTATTATTTTTTTCATTCTAAAATAAAAACTTTTTAACTGATGGAATTGGTCAAATTAACTGGAGAGTTAATATACATCATAATATCCATCGCATGATTCGCCTCTCTGTGATGTCGATTATAAAATAATCTAATCGAATAATAGTAAATTGCAAAAGACATCGTAATTCATTTTCAGTTTGACTGGTCAACATTAATCATCGCATCAGACTATTTCGAGATTGAATTACGAGTACACTCGAAATAAATAGGTTCCGACATAATTTTCATAAACAAATTGTAGCATAATTATTATTTTTTATATAAATTTTCATCTGTAAAATTAGACAATTTATATATGATTCTTTTAACATAAGATAAAATTTTAAGATTTTGTTAAATTGAAAATATCTAACTATAATTTAAAAAATATGTAAGTTTTAAAATTAAATATATTTGTCAATATTCTAATGCCATATTTAGAGTGATATGTAATATTTTCTTTTGAAGTATCAACAATCGTAAATTGTAAAAGAGATCGTAATTAATTCTCAGTTTGACTAGCTAACATTAATCATTGCCACCGACTACTTCCATTTTGAAATACGAGTTTACGAGTATACTCGAAATAAATTTTGCAATTAATTTATCACTCTTAAAATCCAACACTCGCATGATAGAGTTGAAAAGTAACAGTCAGATCATTGGTTAAACCGAAAATATTTAAATATGTTTTATATTATTATAGGTTTTTAGTGAGGATGATAATAAATTATATATTAAGTAAAGCGACAAACTCGCTACGTGCCGTGCAAGAATTCTTTGTGGCAAACGATTTATCATTAAATGTTTCAAAAATGCAGTTAATACTTTTTGAAAAACCATGTCGTAGCTTATTTGAAGTGATGTTCGATGGACATAAAACTGTTTCTACAGACATAGTAAAATTTCTAGGTAGGCAAAAGTAAATATTGGAACGGAAGCGGCTGTAACTGCATATCATGCTTTGTACAGGGTGTCCCACTAAGAATAGCTCTCGGCTGTATCTAGGAAAGTATTAGTCGTAGGGCTAGCGGAAAAAAATATTTGTAACTAAAGAGACCATGAGAAATTCCTGGAAATTATTCCCAAGTTTGTAGAACGGCCGCTAGAGAGCGTAACTGTTAAGGAGGGTCCACATTTAGTAACATGTTATATGACATTGCTATTTAACAAGCTACATATCACATGTTACAAAACCGGGAGTCGTTCGCATTATAGTTTTCGTAAACATGAATCGTTTTGGCAAGAAAGAGGTTCAGCTCCCAGCAGCGGCGTGCCTAATTTGTTTTGAAGAAAGAGAAAGAAAGTCGAGAAAAAAAAACGGTTTTGAGTCCGCCATAGCCTACAAGCAAGATCTAGATATAGTTGAACTCAATTAGCTTACCTTTTCAATACCTGCCGCGGCTGTTTCTGGTGGTGTGTTTCTGTCTTTAAAAACATTAATAACTTAAAAGCAAATCATTTTGAATTATCCACTTTATCTAAACCAATACCTGATTTGCATTTCTTTTGTTCCCTCTGGAACTAGTCTATTAGACAACGCATTTTTTTCTCAACTTTTCTCTTTCCAAATATATACTTTTTGCAATTTTTAACCATGTATCATGCTTTTCTTATTTCACTTTAAATGAGGGACTACGGATATCCCATAACACTGTATGATCTCTATACAACTTAATTAGTTGACCAGTCTGCTCTTGGCTCTACTCCATTAATAATGTAAGAACCATACGGTCGAAAAAAAAATGGCGTCAGCGATGGCTATGAAATGAAGATCGCTATCATTTTATATGGAAAATTATATGGGGAATGTCATCGATCGTCATGTCCAAGCCAACTGGACGGGAGGCCGACTGGACGCACTTTTTTTTCGATCATACGGACGTTATTATTGACCATACGGTATATTATTGACCAGTAAATAAACAAATCAATATCAGCTCACCACACTAAGATTTTGTCGCGCACGTCCCTGAAAATATGACGGGCTAAACTAGAAATTTAGCAAGTCTGGACGCATTGTTTCATGTTACAATAGCAGTGTTGTACAACATTTTTTGATCTTACCGACTACAAATGGATAACATCTAACAAGTTATATAGCAGCGAAATTTGCTAAATATGACTAAAAAATATGTAACATGTTATATAACTTTGCTATATATCAGTGTTATATAGCAAGTGTGGACCGTCCTTTATAGAAAATAACAAAATATAATTTTTAAGAAATTTTGCTTAGATACGATGTACTATAAATAAAAGTCTTTAGTAAATTTTGGATCTTTTTTGTTAGAATTTTGCCTATCTGCTCAAATAAAGTGGTGGGGGAAGGTTAAATCTGTTTTTATTTAAATGTTAATAACTCCGGCCTGGATGATCGGAATACAACAAATGAAAGCTCGTTTAAAAAACCGTATCTTACTCTATATTATACCACATAAACAATAAAAATAAGCTTTAGAACGCAGACGATAGGGGGCGCTGTCTTACAATTTAACAAATATTGCGCGTTTTTTCAAAAAAATTAAATGCGATACTATATGTAATTTCATCTGATAGTAAAGAGTAATAAAAGCTTAAAAAGTCAGCAAAAACCGCATCTTGTTATCTTTTTCCAACGAAAATTATTAGCAAAATTATAATAAATACGAAAAAATTGGCCTTTTTAAACGAGCCCCCGCTTGCTAGATTCCGTTCATCCAGTCCGGAGTTATTAATATTTAAACAAAAACAATTCTAACATTCCCCCACCACTTTATTTTGGCAGATAGGAAAAAATGGTTCTAACAAAAAATATTTAAAATTTACTGAAGATTATGAATCTATTATTTATAGTACCCGTTATCTGGGCAAAATTTCTCTCTCTTTATCGTGAATATAAAATTCTTATCATAACATCAGAATTGCGTTATAAGTTATATTAAGCCACGCTAAAATCTTTTTATGTAACATATTCGTTTTATGAAATTTCAAAACCTTATAGAGCTCGTTTTTGGTGAAGAAATTGAAAGAAGAATTCCGATTTGATAGTAAATTTTCTATTGCCTGCTGAATTTCTCTACTTTACTCGATTCCCAAAGACCGAACTAATACAGCAATTTACTGGTATTGAGAAAAATGGCCAATAACGAGGTCTAGTGGTCTGTAACTTTTTATTTCGCCAGTTACGGCACCAGAAGCGAGAAATGGCTATGCGTTTATCTACCAATCAAAAAGAACAATCCGTTGTATGGCAGGCTATTTGAAATAAAATTATAATTTTATATATAGGGAATAGAAGTTTTTATATATGATATATGTTCAAAATTATTGCATTTCAATAAATAGAAAATCTTTATATTTTTAGAATTAAATATTCAGTATGTAGATTAGGGTGGGTCAAAAAAATCGACTATTTTTTTTACTTTATACTCAAAACTTTTTTCACTTTAAACTCGAACTGGAAAAAAAGGTTGGTAGACACCTCAAAAAATTATCCCCAAGCATGAGCTCTTAATTTTAATAGGAAGATCCTCCGCCTTTCGGTTTTCTATTTTTTCGTTATTATTAGTAAGAAATATTCATATCTCGGTATATACTATTTGGAAAAAAATATCTCGTCTCATATATTTGTAGGAAATTGAATTCACTACAAAAAAGGTCTCTTACAATTTTGTAATGTAACCTCACCGTTCGGAAGTTATTAGAGGCTGAAATTTGATTATTTTAATGCAGATTTCTTTTTTCTTTGATTTTCTTTCTCTTTGATACGCGCAACTCACGGTTTTGTAGAAAATTCACTGCTCTACAAAAATGGTTTCTTATGATTAGTCGATTAAATTAACCGTTTAAAAGATATTCATCGTCAAACTTCAATGCACAATAATTTATCAGTTTTTGATTAATAATTCGAAATTTGTACCCATTTTTCAAAAGTTTCTATGAACAAAGAAATGTTTTAAACTTTTTTCTAGTTTTGTTAGTCGTTATTTACTCGAAATTTAATGAATTTAATGAATCAGTCTCTATGAACTCTAAGTTAGAAAGAATGAAATAATTTTTTGTTTTAATGTACCCAAATAGGCTTAGTACTAAAAAAACTAAAAATTTAAAAAAGTTAATTAGTAGCCTACGAGTATATTGAACGTAAAAATATAAATGCTAGTTTTGAATCATATTAAATGAATCAAATGAAGAATAAAAATAAAAAACGTCCAACACTATAAAAAAACTGTCTAACAACTTATATATTTTAAATTATTTTATTTTATTGTTCTGTGTAGTCTTAAGTAATGATATCATCGGAGTGATAATACTTTAGTGTCTTTAGTTATACTCTCTTATTAAAACTTATAAAACAAGAAAATTCTTTATTTTTAGGAATACAATTTCTGCGTGACTGTCCTAGAGAGCCCAATATACCAATTTATATGGTAGTTGGTGGAAGTCTAGGATGTGTTAAGATGGGCTTAACGTTATGGAATCAACTTCATTCTCGACATATGGATGCTTCTTCAATGAATTCTACATCAATTGGTTCAAAGGTAGCTTCGGTAAGTATTTTGCGTACTTAACTTATTACCTTATTGTCAACTCTGGCAAAATAATTGTCTTAATTTTAATTACCAATTTGGATTTCAAATCTCTAGTATAGTATTTCTGTATTGTAGTAGTTAATTCTCTATTGACTTCATTAAAATATGGCTCCAATTAAATTTATATTTATTAGAATGATTACAGTTGAAGAATGGAACTTTTGGTGTCACAACAGCAAAATAAAAGACCGATTCACTACAATATACCAAAACACTTTACGCTTGCATTTGGCGCGCGTTTCGCGTCATCCTTGATGCAAACATGGATAGCGAAACGGATCCAGTGCAAAAGTAAAGTGTTTTGGTATATGGTATTTTGGTGAACCAGTGCTATTAGAATGGTTATAGGAAACAAAGTAGTCGGCTACATAAATAAAAAAGTACTCACAAGGTTAGAGTAAAGCTTGATTGATACAACATTAGAAAAGGCACGATATAAAAGGTCAAACAATATAAAATCATATACAGAGTGGTCCGAATTGTATTCCGGAAACTTCGGCAGCATATTATGCAGATAAAAATAAATAAAAAAGTTCGTATAAATGAAAGTCCTAAAATGATTAGTTTCAGAGATACAGGGTGTAGATGTTTCATTTTTACTTCGATTTGTTCTAAATAATTTCTGAAGTAACGTCAATATTTGGATGAAGGTTGGGAGTTTTTTGACATGAGAAATTTGATTTTTATGTCAATATGACTCCCACTAGTAGAGGTCGCCACCTACATGTGTTTTAACTGTTTTGAAGCGTAATAACTTTTTGTCCCTACCTGTATAAAATTACCGAGCGAAAAAATATACATCTCTGTGACTTTTTACGTAAAAAATATCTCTTTGTAAAAATCACTACGAGCAACCGTTCTTAAGATACTTAGAATGGAAATAATCAATATATGTCATTATTGACGAAAAATAAACACGTTGGGTAGATAGTTATTTCACTGAAATAATAAATTTGATTTTTTTTTTAAATTAATCATAAATTTTTCTGCAAAAAATGATGATAAAACAGTTTCTGTTGAACTTTTGGCACAAAAATATTTCAAACTTATGATTTCAGTTTAATAACTATTTAGTCAACATGTTTAATTAATGTCAATGATGACAGGTAATAATAATTTCGATTTCAAATATTTCGAAAACCAATACTCGTAGCGATTTTTACCAAGAGACCTTTTTTACGTAAAAAACGTTGTAAATTTATATTTTTTTACTCAGTAGTTTTATACAGGTACGCACGAAAAGTTATTACTCTTCAAACCGGTTAAAAAATATGTAGGTGTCAAAATCAAATTTCTCATGTCAACATACTCCCAGAGACCAATTTTCATTTAAATATTGACTTTACTTCAGAAATTGTTTGGAAAAAATTCACAGTCCTTTACAAAGATGCAACCGGGGGGGCATTGAAAATGATGAATAAAAACGTAAAAATATGATTAGTGTTAATATGAGTGTATTACATACATATGTTTAAATGACGAACTTAACAAAAAACAACAGCTTTAAAGATTCACTGAAAAAGTAGTAGTGTTAACATTAAATAAAACATTATCAAAAATAATTATGCGATCGCACCAAAACAAGCAAGCAAAAAAACCTCGAAAAAAACAAAATAACATACAAAACATCAGGTTAACATGATGACAGATCATGATCAATGACAGATAAAGAATTCTTACGGAAAGTTACACTTTACGATATAATTTTTTAACTGTTAAAGGCAAACCCCATTTAAACACAAAACTTTTTAATACCTACTACTGTATCTAAAAGTTTTTTTTTTTAATTACTAAATTCTTAGCCACGCTTCTGTTTTTCTTGGCTGTTGTGCGTCAAGTCACAGATTAACAGGCCCGCGTTTGCACCACAAGGCGATGCTGCAGACCACTAGGTAGACCGATCGTAGCAATTTATGTTATACAACTTGACTACAAGTTGTATAACAACGCAATCTACTACAAATATTATCAAAAACTTTTTTTCTTTTAAAATGTGTTCAGATTTTGTAAAAAGTATAAGTCAAAATCGCAAAACTTAAATTTGATATGAGTTTCTTAGTTTTTAACTAATATAGTGGCGAATTACAAAAATTCCTTTTCAATGAAAATTAATGAGTTAAATAAAATAATTTAATAAATTACTAGCTTTTTCTCGCGACTACGTTCGCGTTACACCTCGAATCGTTCATGCATTGATTTAAATGATTTTTTACTTCTTTATAGAGAGCTAGTGAGCATATAGATGTTTTTTATTTTTCATCTTTTTTTTATTTATTAAGAGCACTAATACTCTCTTTATAGGTTATTTTTTATTCTTTGAAGGATAATTGAGGAAGATATATTTCGTTATGATGTCACTTAATAAACCCTTGTATAAAATTTTCTACTATCTGGTTTATAATGTTATAGTATAGCATTTTCGTACAGCAAACTTTCATTCCCTATTCTAGTCCCTAAGGGTATAAATTTCATAAATTCGCTTTACCTTTGTGCCAATTTTTATGTGTATAATCCAGAGGTCACCAAGTTTTATATAATTTTTTACTAACTTTACCCATTTGGTTGATGAATTTCAAAAATTTCTTCTAATTCTTTTTGTAGGATTTCATTCTTCTAGACCAAATAGTAAGGAATTTCCATACAACAAACTGTTCCGAGATAATTTTACTCTCTAAGAGGATGAATTTCCTAAAATCGCTTTGTGTAGCTATTTCACTAATGTCGTTTAAACGAACCTTTGTGCTAATATTTATGTATCTAAAGCTGGCGGCATGAACTCACTCTAAAATATCTAAAAACGTAATATACAATCTAACTGACACACCACTGACAATGACAAATAATTTATTTCTGGAGGTATTGTGTGTAGGCGTTTTTCAGGTATGTTTTAGTATTTAGTCGTTTTACACAAAGAAATAGCCATTAAGCACTATAAAAATACTTCATAACAAATCTACACATATATACCTTTCATTTAAAAAAGAATCATCAAGATTGGTAAAGCGGTTTCGGCGGGATGGATGCAACAAAAAAACCCTTTGAGCTTTTATATATGTATGGATTAATTATTTTTCCAACATATTTTACTTTGCAAATTTTTATAAATATTCAGACTCGCCAATATCGTACTCCACCGTGTCCAGCCTGTTTAGCCAAACGTAGGCCGATTCCTCTTCGGCGGCGTCGTGACCCTGGCCGAAGGAAGAGTCTTGAAGACGCTCATCCGCGCATAGGAATAAGTTGACTGCGTAGCGTATTGCGTATTAATCGATTCTGAAACTTTCTATCTCGTGTATAACATGTTACGCAAGTTTATTATTTTAATCTCGATTTTAATAGATAAATGTGTGAAATGCCACCTGAATATCTTCCGCCATGACATGTTTTTACTTTTTTGTTATGGTAAAGTGATTTGTATAAACTTTATTCAATAACGTATATTTTCCTCCATTTGTGATTTTTTAATTTTAAGCGAAAATTAAGTATAACATTTTAGGAAAAAGAAACACTGTAATATTTAAAAGAATAAGAAGAAATTAGTCTTATTTTGAAAGGAAAATATAGAAAAAACTCTTTCTATAGAAAAAGTCTTTATACTAACCAGAATCCGGTGACATATACGCGGTCTCACCGGAAACATTACTTATTACTTCGCATAACTTGAAGAATATCTACTTTTAATAATGAACACTTCAGAAATACACCAGTAAAAACATTTATTATTTGAGATTAAAACTCGAATTAAATTATAAATATTAGTTACCTATGTTGTTATAGCTTTTATAGGCCTGTTTAACGACTTAATAAGTTACCTAGCGAAAAAATCTGTGCGCGTACCTACCACTATTGTTACAGGTTAATTCGTTAAAGAAATATGTTACACAAGTTAAAAACGCTAAAATTTTAATGGTATTACTTGTGCATTATTGGCCTTATAATGTAATTTGTTGGAATTATATCTTCTTTAAATATAATTAGACTTTTTAACGACTTTTAAGTTACCTAGGAAAAAATCTGTGCACGTACCTACCAGTATTGTTACAGGTTAATTCGTGAAACAAATGTGTTACATATTATTCGTGGTATTAGTGGTATTATATTGGAATCAGCTTGGCATTAGTGGGGCATTATATGAGAAATTTTGGTATTTAATTTGTATTTTTGGCATTACTTTGGCATTAGTATACAGACATTTGTCAGCGGTTTACTCCTTGTAGATAATCAAAAAGTTTTTTGATAAAATTTGCTTTTTATGTCAGATCATTTCTATGAAAAATTACATTAGATTTTTATTAAAGACGCTGGGTAATTAAAACATTGACTAATAAAGCTTGTCCACTTTAAATAAGGGGTCACGAAATATCCTCCTTGGAGTGTTTGGGTTAAGGGGTGTATAATAAATTAATCGTTGTTTTATAATAAAAACCATAAAACATTTATTTGTGAGTAAAATAATGCAATGGTTGGATATCTCTCCTTTATAATTAGGTGACTAAAAATACACTAAAATAATTAGAAAAAAAATCTTGTACTTATTTAGTAATTACGTCAATATTAATTAATTGACTTTCTAGTCTATTTTATTTTATGTACAAATATATTATTAAATTTTAAGCATTAAGTAATAAAACACTTTGTGCCCTCTTATATCGTAAGAGGTTACGAAATATACTCCTGGTTACACCCCTTACAGAAAACAGTGTAAGGGGTGTAAATAAATTGTATAATCACTGTTTTTTATAATAAAAACTATAAAACATTTCTTATTTGTGAGATTAAAAAAACAAAACAATGCATTGGTTAAAATAAGTACATTCAATACATATGTATGTGTTATAACATAATATAGCCATTACTATTATACTATTATTATTAAAATAATATGTGTGTAACATATTTCTTTAACGAATTAACCTGTAACAGACATTTATATGCCCAGTATATTTTTGTTTAACAAA